GAAAGAGTGAGTAAGTTTTGGTTTATTGCTCTTGTCACAGCTACCATAGTCTGTATCCTGAGACAAATAGGAATACCAAAGAATTGTGGTTATTTTTACCCTTTCAGCACCTGAGGAATGTTTTATTAAGGTAGAAAGCAGCAACTTCGATTTTTGTAGCTAAAAACTGTTAACTAAAAACTATACTTTGCTTCTATGTACTACAGGTTCTGTGCATTATGTGAATGAGAAAGGAAAGACAAGGCATATATTGTCGACAGACAGTCCGGTCCAAAAGCTTCTGTTCATGGAGAAAAGAGATGTTTTAGTTGTAATAACAGAGAACCTGCAGTTGTCCTTGCATGCAGTTACTCTTGAGGGAGAGGCAGAAGAGAGCATGAAGGTAAGAGTCAGACTACAGGGTAAAGGTTCAATGTTTAATCTTTTAGATATTTGTTAGGGCTTTTTGGTTATCCCTTTTTTGGTTACACATGAATCAGCTCTCTGTTTTGTTTCTCAGATAACACCTTAGTGAGTAAATGTATACTCATTTAAAAGTGGAATAGAGTGGTGTGTTGCTGAACTTGGAAAGGTGATTTTCATCTTGCCTTCTTGTTTTTTCTTAATATCCCTCACTTTGAACCTATGTTAATCCTTTTACACTTCACTTGTCTTAGTGAATTAGATAAGAATTCAAAATTCCAGTATAGTCAAGCATCTGATAAAATGTCTTGTGGATAAATAGTTTATAATCTCTGTCTTTGGTTTTATTGTCATCAGTCACTCGGAGCTGGCTTGTCTTTTGGAACAGTAGGAGCAATACCTCCTCTTAGTGACACTGTCTTTGCAAATCTGAAAGATGGTCTAATTCTCACGTTGTGAAAATGTTCTTCAAGGCTGCAAGGGTTAGGAAGCTTTTAAGAACTAACAACCCACAAGTCACAGAATCACAGATAATAATGTAGTGACCCAAAAATTATTGTGTAGGGACAAAAGCCAAACTGACCTCATCCAGGATTTATAATCACATTGGCTAAAATAAAATACTGTTCTGTTGGAGAATACTGCTTGGAGGGATGGAACTCAAACCTTCACCTTTCTAAGATTTTTTTTCTTTTTATGTAAGAGTGAAAAAGTCTGGGAACTTGTGTATTACAGGAATGTCCACTTCTTATTACTTATTACTTATTTATGACTACAAGTAAGATTTGGTATTCCACACTTTAAAGCAATCTTTATCAAGTTTAAGAGAAGATCTAGTACAAGAGAAAAAACTGCTCCCTACGTACTTAATTAACACACTGCAAGTTTTCTCTTATGCAATTTATGCATCATATCCTTGATGCCTATCACTGAGAGAATCTACTGGTCTGTCTGAACTGACAGACAGGTCTAGTTATTCTTATATGTTAACTTCTCAGCCAGACTAAGCAATTCACATGCTTACTGTCTTTCAGTGTGTTCCTCCTACCTTCAGAAAGTTTGTTTATTTACTTATGGTTAACAGGTGAAGCTGAGTGGGAAGATAGGTCATTCTGCAGACATCATTTTAATAGACCACAGCCTTGTTGTAACAGCACTAGGCGAGACGGTCCTCAGGTAAGAATCCTGTTTTAACACTGCTCTGGCTGCCCATGAGAAGTGCCAGCTAAAGGTTTGTGGTCTGCAGTGCAGTGAATATTTTACAGAACTTTTTTTTTTTTTTAAAACCAATAATGAAAAAAACTCCCAATATTTTCTAATGTTGTTTGTCAAAATAAATAGAGAAATGAAATGAAATATCTGTTTCTTTGAGGACAGAAATGAATTCTACACATCTTTCTTTGTTTCTATGTATGTCTATTTTGTTTTGTCAGTCACAAACCTTTTCTTTCTGAGTGCTGTTATCGATTTCTTCTGAAAGTATATCTATTTGGGTTTTTTGTGTGAAAAAGATAACCACTTTGCTGTTCTTTCCACTGTTATTGTCTGACTCTTAGGATAGTCACAGCATCAGCAACAGGAAAGAAAGTGCTTTTCTTTCAGGGCATTTCTGTGTTACTGTAATATAAGACAAGTATTTAATTTCCTAATTCTTTAAACCAAGTATGTCACTTTGCCATGCTACTATGATACCATGTTCTGTAGCTTTTATAATTTTGCATCTTTTTAAAAAAGGTATTCAGTGTTTTTTTTTCCCATGTCTTTATTTTGACTTATTCTACCTGTTTCCTCTAACTTTTTCTGGGGGGAGGATGCTCCATTAACATCAGTAATTCACTTTCCTGAGCCTCTATCTGCTAGTAGCAAAATCATCTACTCATTTTGAGAGAATGTGATAAAGACCAAGTATCAGGAAGGAATATGTTTGATGACAGTGTTAGTTTTAGAAAATACATCTAGAATCCAAAGGACTACCTGGTTAATCAGGGAAAAATCTTAAAATAGAGGATGAAGCACAAGTAGGAAGGAGGAAAATTGCAACTAGAGCTCTTTTTTTTTTTTCTTTCTGTAAAGCTGGGTTTGATTCTGACTCGTTTCTTCATAGGAGAATATCACCAAACATATTGTAGAGTAAAAAGTCAAAGGAAAAGGAAGGTGGTTAAGAAATTCACATTCCAGAGGCAGCTGTTGGCAATTTAATTTTAAAAAATTAATAATCTGGGCATTATAGAAATAGCAAATTAATGCCATGTACAGCATCCTATTGACTGTGTTTAGAAGACACCTGGAAGGAAAAGCATTGTTAACACTCTTGTTTTGTGTGCCTTAGGTTCTGGGATTTGGACCGAGATGAGAACTATGTGCTCTGCCCAGATGTGCAATTTGGCTTTGAGAGAGGAGAATGTATTAACTGTGTTTCTTACTGCAGTGCTAAAGGTGAGAAATAACATGGCAGCTGTGATCTCTGGATTCTAAACCTTGTCAAACTTCAGCCTTCAGTGCCCTGTAGTCATTTCAGTATATATGTCTTGTTACTGAGGGTTTCGGTAACAGCATGTGGTGCAGAAGTGTTTTAGTTCAGATCAGGAGTGTGCTTTTGAAGGTACACTGAGATAATTTGACACTCACCTCACTTTGTCTCATCATGGAGCTGTCTCCTGGCACACAAGCTGGATTCTCTCTGATGACACTAAACTGGTACAAGTACTCCTGGAATACACCTAAGGCACTCCAACATGTTATGGTCTACAAGCCCACACTAGAGCTAAAGCAAAGTAGAACTCATCAAACACGTATAGTGTGGACATCAGGTCCTTAAAACTGATGTTTTCTACAGAGCTACTTCTGTTCATCACCTTCTTTGCCAGTGTAGGCATACCCAGAGTCTGCTAGGATGGTTTTCAGTGGTGACTTGCCCATGGTGACTACAAAACTAGGTATTAAAAAATAAATGGTTAAAATGAAATAATTTTCTGATACATTTAAAAGGTAACTTCATCTGGTACCCTACTAAATGAGCCTTCTCCCATTTGTTTCACATGAAACTGCTCCCATTGTTTCTCCAGAAAGTTTCTTCACTTCAGGACTTTGATGCTGATTTGCAGGCAGGCAAAGAAATGGATGCTGCTAGATGAAGGCTTCCAATACCTTAGAACCAGAGCTAGGCTGCCTGCTACTTACGTGTTTGTTTTTCTGAAGTTTAAGATATGAAGTGCCTAAAGGGTTTGTGAATGGCAGGTCTCTTAGCAGCTGGCACCAACAAAGGGAGGATAGCTATGTGGAGGAAAGCAGCAGGATCCGACCAGAGCGTGAGGGCTTTGGAGGGCAAAGAGAAGTGGAAGCTCCAAGCACCTACAGAACTTGAAGGAAATGTGACTCAGATAAAGGTAAGGCAGAAAGAGGCTTCTTGCAAGTTAGTAGGACTTCACAAATGTTAGATGAATAGAACATCTTTGTGAAACATTTATGTGGTTACTGTCACACGGATACGTGCAGCAGTAGAAGCTGTTCCTCCTTCAGAAGGAGGAGAAGCCATCAGGATCGAGGAACGACTGAAAGTGAAATGGGCAGAAATATTATGTATTTGTAAGTATTACAGGCGAGGCTGGAATGCTCAGCAAGGTAATACACTGAAATGCCAATACATCTCTGTCTGGGACAATTAGCAGTTATGGCATCCTTAAACCCAAACATCTCTCTATTATTTATGTCATTGACAAACTCTTTGGATTCAGCACCCAGAAGTATTTTCAGGAAAAGATGGAATGTCAGAAATGTCACATTGACATCAATTTATTAAAATAGCAAGCCAGAAAATCTGACTAAATGCATGATTTTGTTTCTAGATAATTTTCTTCTTTTTGGTCACTTTCTCAGTGTGAAGATTGCTCTTACTGGTAGTTGCAAAAATAAGAGGATGCATTTACAGCCAAATATTCTTTGGTGAGAAGTCATGCCATCTAGAAAGGGATGCTATATTTTCATACACAAAATGGTGTTTTCAGCTACTTTTTTAGTCAGAAAATGTTTTTTTCTTTATTAGATAATATTTTCATGTGTGACAGTGGCAGACTAGATGTGGATGATGAGTTTTCTCACAAATTTTCAAAACCAATGCTATAAAACATTTCTACTGCTATTTACAGTATTTTTAATACTGAAAGTTATGACAATGCTATTATAAATTTTTTTTTAACCCATTGTCTGTTACGTGCCAGGTTTCAGCATTTTTATTTATTTGAAATACTTTGATTTGTCACAGTAAGCTCCAGCACTGTCATTCTGTACCTATTAGCATTTTGACATATACAAAAGAGAAATGCTGCATGTTATAATCATAAATTTAAGAAGTTTCACATTAACAGCTTCTCTGACCACCACCGTTCTTTTAAAAGGCAGAGCCTGTGCTTTTAGGTTCTTCAGCACTTGTTTTGTTTATATGTTATACCCTATTGTTTTTTCAAATTTTTTTTTTAGCATTCCTGTTACAACTTAGATTATTCTATTGCTGTGCTTCATGTCAGAACAATATCTGTAATGTTTTTGAAGGAGTGCAAATCAAACATACATCCTTTCAAGAAAAAGTAATCTTACACTTTGTTTTATTCTGTTTTCACATAAGAATTTAAAATACTTAAAAAACAATGGCATTTGCTTGCTCTGGGTTGGCATATAGTGAGGGTCTGGGTCAGAGTCCTACTTAGAACATTAAAACGTATGTACTAGTAAAGTGGAGAACCCAGATCTTTTGTGAAGATGTTTCTGTAACAAAAGGTCCAGGACAAAGGAAGTAGTGTGTGACATTAGCATATCATGCATCTGCTAACACGGTGAAGGAAGGGAAGAGACAGAGGTGTTTGTGTCAGCTTGACCATTCAAGCATGTTCCAGATAACAGGATGTGGAGTGCTGTCCAGAAATAGCACCTCGCGCCCAGTGGTTGTTAGTGTAAACAAAAGCACTGCCAAATGATTGTCAACAATTACTGGGGTTTACCTCATGGTATAAAGTTGTCTTTAATTATGGAAAGTCTAGATTATTTTTTATTGTAATCCCTGCTTCCAAAAAATGTTTTGTAAAAGTTTTTAAGAGTTGCTGCATGTGAAATCCTTTGGTAATTCCTATTAAAGCATTTCCCCATGGTGCCATGCAAACCCCAGAGCAGAAAGCCGTGTACCCTGGTGAGATCAAAGGGCAGCAGGGTCTTCATCTGACTTCTTACCAACCTCTTATGGTGGCTTCAAAAGCAAGGGGATTGGGGAATGCACTCTGGCTCGTCTGTTGTGCATAATAGTATCTAGTTAGTTGTAACTAAGCACCATTAAAAAGAAAACCCAAATCAAACAGTGCAAAATAGCTTTATTTCATAGACTGTGCTCTTGAATAAAATGAAATTATTTCCAAACACAACTTTTAAATTAATGTTGTTGGAAAGGTATAGCCACAGATATATCAGTATGTCAGGAAATTAATATGAAGCTTCAAATAACTTTGAGGGAAGAAGAGACCTGAGCAACTTGGAATGTCCCTAGGGTTTCTGGAGCTTACCCCTGGGCAGGAGGGTGGGTGCAGTGCGTGGGGTTCCTCACTGCCGGCAGGGCTCCCGGCTGTCCTCTGCAGCCAGAGCTCCCCGTGTTGGCAGCAGCACAAGAGTGATGTGTGTGACCCTGCTTCTCCTTGGCAGTTACTGTAGGGACTTCCACGTGGTTGTGATTGGACTTTTGACTTGGTTTATTCCTTCCCCCATTACCGGAATCCAGTGTGACTTACTCCTTCCTCTGCTGTGAGTGAATATATTGATCTGTTTGCTCCCCCTGTTCTCCATCGTGTCAGATCTTTTCTGTATTCATTTGAATTGGATAGTAAAGTCTGTTTTCTGCTGATGACCATGTCCTTTATGCTGGACCACACAACTGGCAAAACAGGGTGTTGGTCAACAGTCCACTGAATATGAGCCAGCAGGTGCCCAGGTGGCCAAGAAGGGCAACAGTATCCTGGCATGTATTAGAGACAGTGTGGCCAGCAGGACTAGGACATTTGTCCCCCCATACTCAGCACTGAGGAGGCCATACCTCAAATACTGTGTTCAGTTTTAGGTCCCTCACTGCAAGGAGTACATTGAGAGGCTGGGGCATGTCCAAAGAAGGGCAACAAAGCTGGGGAAGAGTCAAGAACACAAGCCTTGTGAGGAGAGGCTGAGGGACCTGGGGGTGTTTAGCCTGGTGCAGAGGAGGCTCAGGAGAGACCTCACTCTCAACAACTCCCTGACAGGAGGTTGGAGCCAGGTGGGTGCTCGTCTCTCCTCCCAAGGAACAAGTGGCAAGACAAGAGGAAATGGCCTCAAGGCGTGCCAGGTTAGGTTGGATATGAGGAGAAATTTCTTCACTGAAAGGATTGTCAAGCCCTGGAAGAGGCTGCCCAGGGCAGCGGTGGGGTCACCATCCCTGGAGGGGTTTAAAAGTCCTGTATATGTGGTGCTGAGGGACATGTTTTACTAGTGACCTGTCAGTGCTGGGGCAGTGGTTGGACTTAATGATTGTAAAGGTGTCTTCCAATTCTATGATTCTGTGTTCTGCCTGGAGAAGAAAATGCTCCAGAGAGATCTTATTGCAGCCTTTCAGTACTTAAAGGGGCCTTATATGAAAGATGGGGACAGACTTTAGCAGGGCCTCTTGTCACAGGACAAAGATTAATGGAGATTTAGACTAGATATAGGGAAGAAATTTTGCCTGAGGTCTTAGATGAAATTTTGTGTTGTGTTTTGTTTTTTTTTTCTCTTCTCATGGTGTGCAGTGGGGCTCCCAAAAACACCTGCTGGCAGTGAACAACACCATCTCCGTGGTGATCCTCCGCGAGCAGGCCCTGTCATCTCATTTTCATCAGCAAGTGGCCGTGGTACAGGTGTCTCCCAGCCTCTTTAATGTGACCATCTTCAGCACAGGAGCCACACACAGCCTTCGTGTTGACATGAATGTTAATGGAGTTTTTGCTACAAAGGTTAATTGGGGTTTTCATTTATTTGTGTGATGTTTTGCCTAGTGGGGTGTGTGGAGAAAAGACTTTCTAAGTGTTTAATATAATCCTTCTTTGATATCCTGTGTATTGTGTGATGGAGGTGTTGTTATGATGCTAGCAGTGATGCTGTGGTGGAGCTGATTTCCACATAGCACAATAACTCAGGAATTCTCTGTGTGCTTATCAGAGAACTTTGGCTTACCAAAAGCCTTCCAGCTCATTATACACAGGAACTGGTGAATGGTGGCTGTTGTGTGGAAGGTGTTGCTGTGTTGTTGCATAAATTCCTGTATGGTTCCAAGACAAACTGAATGTATATATTCTTTTGCTTTTTTGATTCGTCTAGGAAGCTGTAGTATTCTGGAATGGGAAGCAAGTTACTGTCTTTGAGTATTCAGGAGATACCTTCAGAAGTGCAGGTAGGACTCAGAACACTGATTGGAGCTGCAGCGGTTCCTTTCGTTCAAGGTTTTATGTTCTCTTTGTTCATGGTAGCTGATGGACTGTAATCAAAGTGAAAAAAACAAAAAAGCAAAAGATTTTGGCTGTCATGGCAGAATGGAAGGAGGCTTCAACAACAAGGAATTTGGGAATCAGTAGAGATGGATAGATTGAAACTGGGTTTGATGCAAGATACTGGAAATTGAATGCTTTAAGTCAAGATTCCTTTTTTTCCTTCCTTCCTGCCTTAGAAAAAATCTGTTTATTGCAATGTTGGCTTTCTTGTGATTGTTCCAGGCTCTTTTCTTTGTGACTCTTCAGTTCTGTCCATGCATGGAGAAAATCTGTACACAGTGGAACCGTACCGGGTGCAGGTCCGCACCTGGCAGGTAAGGGCTGAGGAAACCCTGAAGCAACAAATGCACCTTACTATTGTCAAAGATTGGTGTTACAGCCTGAAAGTTAAGTGGATGTTTTGTAAATCAAAGAACTCTACCTTTGTCATAGAAAAAATATTGTGAGTATTTTCAGCAGAAAGATCTTTGACATTTTGTGTTCTTTAAAAAGTCTGTCTCTTTGAATGCTACTGCATAGTGAGTGTTTGTAAAAGAGACCAGAATTCTCCAAGGGCCAGACGTTAAGAGGATCAGAACAGTGTGCAGGTTGAGTATGTATATTTATATCACTGACAGGAAAATCAACATGCTAATTATTCTTATAAGATAATGAAAAGTATCACCTGCACGTTCTGTGTGTTCCTGCAAAATCTTCTGCTCAGCCTTTGCGGCCTCTTCTAGTCTGTGAGGACCAAAAAGAGAAATATAATTATTTGAGTTCTGTGATACGTAGCTTTATTTAAGAAATAAATATTGTATCAAATAATGGGTAGGATCCCTCACAATAAGATTGATTTAATTAATATATTTATTTTTGCAGTTGTATATTAAAGGACTTTCAGCAACCTGTATTTCCATAACCCTCTTTGTTGGAAAAAAATGTATTATTGAAGAGGAAATTATTACGGAAGGATATCTCTAAATTTTTACTTTTTTTGAGGCTATGCACCCAGTTTTGGACTTGAGACATAGATTGTTTTTGTAGAGCTAGTGTGGGTGTCTGCAGTTTCTCTCACTTTGCTAGCAGTGATTCCTCTAATATAGAAGTTCAGCCATTACTTACTTAACTTGGTGAACAAAATTACTCTATTCTGTTTAGACTTATAATCATAGAATCATAGAATCCTTTAGGTTGGAAGAGACCTTTAAGATCATCAAGTCCAACCATTAAGCCATTAGGGAACTTGGAACACACAAACTTGGTGTAACATGTTTCTTCTTAGGGCACAGTTAAACAGCTGCTGGTGTTCTCTGAAGCAGAGGGGAATCCATGTCTCTTGGATGTCTGTGGAAATTTCCTGGCTGTGGGAACAGATCTGGCTTACTTTAAAATCTTTGATCTCTCTCGCAGGTATTAATGAGCCTTTTAAAAACATCTACTTACAATTCAGTGTATATTTTGTGGGGGATGAGGGAATCCTTAGTTGTTTATGATCTGATGAAAGGGGTTAGCCACTCTGAATCTTGTGACAACACTGTGTGAACTGGTGGCCTATTCCTAAAGCAAGGGAAGAGCCACAGAATTATTAGACACATCATGGGATGAGTAACAATAACAATAATTTTTAAAAGACAGTATTGTGAGGGATATTTGTGTTCATTTGAAAGGGAATGGAGAATTTATAGCAGATCAAGACAAGGATGTCATATGATCACTTGAACAAGACCTTAATCTCAGAAGAGTTGAACTAAAGGAAAAAAAAAATGCTAGATCTCCTATCTCCTCATAAATTATCAAACCTGATTCAGTGACTCCACAGAGGAAGTGAACCTAGAGTTGTGGACACTCCTTTCTTCCTTCTGTTTAGGTTAAGAGAGAAGTTTACTTGACTTTATTCAAACTTTACTGTGTGTTTGTGTACTGACAAACAGCTGTGGCATGAAAAAGATCCATGCCTGACATGACAGCTAGCAAATGTAATTTTGAAAACCTGAAAAGCCTCGAGTGAAATGGATTGTGTGTTTCCTCAAATACTGTCACCAGAGCAATACTAAAATCTAGGTTTTTTACCCACTTGGACACTTGCTACCTGTGTTGAGATCGCACAAATTCCAATAGGACACTTTGAAGGTTATTGGATTTGGGCAGGTTGCAACTAGTACAAATACTGGATTATGATGTTTGATAGTGGAGGAAAAAAGTAGCTTAACTTCTGCATGCTATGTTAAATATTTTTGTGGCTACTAATGAAAGTACCCATTGTCAAATGATGACAGCATAGCACTCTTCAAGTTCAAAATAACCATAGTTGGCATAGAATAAATGAGAAGTCTAAACATGCAACCCCAGAATGTTTTTTTTATAGAATAAAAGATTTTTTTTCGTGGGATCATGTTGCAGCTCTAAACTCCTGGCACTTCTTTCTGTCTCATTCTTTTGATTAATGAGATTTGTCCTCTGTTGCTGATCACTGGACTCGTATCTATACTAGCCAGAAGAGTCTTTTGAGATAATGTAAAAAAAAAAAAGCAGGAGGAGTGGGAGGGGAAGGATGACTGTCAAGTAAGTGAATGCTACAGTCTTTTGGAATTTAGAGACCAGTAAGATGATAAAATACCATCCCCCCAATGACATTTCTTTCCTTCTGTGCCACGGTGTCTTTTACATACAGAGAACTTCTATGTGATGGGTTATATTCAACATTCATGGTGTTGTTCAACTTACATAGGAAAAACAGGACTCTAAATTCAAAATTCTAGTAGGACATTCTTGCTGTGTAGCCCTGCTTTGGGAATTCTGTAGGATCACTGCAGTTTATTCCTGC